TTTACTAGATTTCTTATTCGCCTCACAGCTTCTCATCCGCCGCCCGCTCTTCTAATTAATCCCAAGCTGTCGTTTTCATCATTAGCCCGATGGAAGTACAGTATAATTCGGCGAAATCCAGCTATATCAAAACATATGGATTGCCAAGTTAGATTGCCACGTGATGGCATAGATGACGGATTGGAGCCACCTGGTCACGAAAGATTTAAATAATCGCGACTCCTTCATTCGCCGGCTTTGGTGGCTAGATTTTATAAGTCTGTACATGATCCTCAAAGAAAATACCCTCAATATAAATATGTACCAAGCAGTATCTGTTTCACTCGCCTCCGTTAGCAAGGAATAGACCATTGATGACCTATCATATCCTTTGCTAAGAGATGCGCAACCGACGCTGCTCACCAGGCTAGTTAAAAACTGTACAGTTTGCACCTTAGCATCTGAGCGAAGGGCAGTATGACCCCCGAGTAGTTGTCCGTCCGCAAATCCCTGAAAGTTCAATATAAGTGAAACTACTGCGGCAGGTTGGACAATTTTAGTTGTAATGCTTTCCTGTCGCAAGGCAGAAGAAAGCTTATATCCCCCCGCTGGTAAGTTTTACAAGAATTGCCGTTAGATTGACCGTGCAAGTGATGATTTAGATCTTTTCAATCGCTTTCTGTCGAGAACTGCAAGCTGTTACGGACCAAATATGCTCCCTCAACCCAAGACTGATTCGATTCTAGACAACCAGGCGCGGTCCAGTAAATTAACCCAAACCGAGACGGCAAGCCACCGGAGTATCTTACGCGTACATGGCTTAAGAACATATCATTACTAAAGGCTATATATAGTACGGTAGAGAAGAAGCTGGCCAAAACGTCCGGTCACATAGTGTCTCGTAATCACTCAAACTGCTTTGGCACCAACAATTATGCCAAAGCAGCACAATCTATTTCCCACTTAGCTTACGTACTGAGTATTATGGTACGGAAGCGAGTTGTTTCATTGAGACTAATGACTTCTTTCGTCTCTACTTTCTTGCGTGCCCAAATGTTTAATTAACACCCATCTCTGATCGCGTACCGTTACTGTGGCTGACACCCTAACCTAAGTCAACCTATTCCTGAGCTCATCATGGATACAAGTGTAACAACTAAGTCAATGAAATTACCACGCAGACTTGATTTGCATAGGAACAGCTGAAGGGATATATAAACCTATATGTTGCCAAGCCATTTGCCTTGAACAGCGAGAGAATCAAGAATACCAAGTGAGTAACAATTTGCTGCATGTGAGTAGAATTCCCCCAGGGACCTAAAGGTAGTAGAAGAAATCTAACGACCAGTCAATAACCCAAAGTTCAGGTCTCAAGAGCAGAGAACTTACTAGGATGCCTATCTCCAACCTCTTCTATGTCCTCAGCGCTCATCATGTCGCTATCTGATGACGAAGCCAGCGACTTCTTGACATTGTTCAGGCGGACCAAGTACCATCTCAGAACGATGGTAGCTATCACAACTAGGACGGAAAGACCGAGCGCCACAGCATTTCCGGTACGATAGTACGGGGGGTCGGAGTACGCTTGCGTAGCGCTGATAGAGAATAACGTAGGGAAGATGTTCATGAATGCCAACACAGAGCCTCTGAGTCCCAATTAGTGATGAAAGAGCCCGAAGAGGGTAAGGATGTAAGAATTGGCTTTCAAAAGAGCGGGAACGACATTACTTACCGGCGGGTGTACCCGACAAAGTTGGAACTGGCCCAGACTAGTTGAATAACAATGTTTGCATATACGCTGAAAGCGGCTATTGCTGTTGCAGCAAATCTGCCATTACGTCCAGTCAGGCCGACAAGCAAAGCATAACCTAGAATCGAAAAGCAGGTCGAAGCTATCAGAACGATTCCTCGCTGTCCTGTTTTGTCTGCAAGCCTGCACCAGAAAATGACGCCCAGGAAGGCCACAACGTAGATAATGACGGTGAATGCCTGGGCCTCTACAGCATCGAATCCGAAGTCCTGAATTGAGATCACTTAGGCATCAATATTGCCACAAGGTGCAGAACAGTGAACCTAGAAAAGACTTACATTGATGAGACTTGGAAGAAAGCTACTGAATGACTCAAGGCAGAAGTGGCCACCTGCAGCTATGAGGGCATACAGCCAGAAGCGCAAATCGAGCAGAACCAACGGGATCTTTTTCATTTCAAGCCTCTCCACGCCAGAGTTATTGGCAATCCTAGCTCGTTCAACGAGGCGCTTCTTCTCAGTGCTGCTGAAACCAAAGCGGACCGTTTCGGGGCTGTCGGGTAGGAACACAAGTACGATGAAACTGAAGGCGATGGGAAGGACGCCTTCGATGAGGAAGAGCCACCTCCATGCCCTCCAGCCCCGAGTGCCGTCGAGGTCGAGCTCTACAGCGTAGGCTATGAGGCCGTTGAAGGCTCCAGCGAGAGTGGAAGTCGAGAAGTATATCGCGCCTCTTGTGGCTAGCTCATCGAACGTATACCAGAAGGAGAGATCTAATTAAACGGACAGCGATTAGAGACTTCAAAGGATATATTGGTATATCAGTGAGGGGAGCATACAGAAGACGACGCCTTGTACGAATGCCTCTGCAGCCCCGATGAAGAACCGCATAATGAGTAGCGCGTGGAAATCGTGGATACAGACTTGAACCGTAGTCAATACTCCCCACTAGTGCGAAGGCACCGTCAGCGAACGTCTTCGCTATGAGCTGGATAGGTAGAAAAAGAGTGTGCGACTGACTATGACCATAGCACCAAAGAACTGTTTCGGCGGGCCAATCTTCTTGACCAGCAGCGTGCCCGGTAACTGAAAGATAATGTAACCGATCAAGAAGAAAGTCGCCGCGTCGGAGTAGTCTCTAGCGGTCAGCTTCAGCTCGTCGCTGAGCCCGGCGATTTTCGCATTGCTCAGATCAGAACGGCCCTGAGCAGTATACCTGTTAGTAGTTGCCTACTATGTCATCGTGTTGTCTTGAAAAGTATACTCACCACATATGCGAAGAAGGCGACGATAGATACTAAAGGTAAGATAAAGAGATCAAGTTTCCATTTCAGCCTGCGTTCTGATGCCACGTCGAAGGATGTGTCACTGGACCCATCGATTGATGCTTCGATAGTGGCAGGACTCTTCTCCTCTACATCGGCATGCTGTGACGAGGTTAAAGATGGCATCGTGGTTTTGCCTAGCTGTAAAGGGAGCGTGCAAACAGGACAACAGTTGAAGCTCTGACGCAAGCTGTATGAGCAGCTATAAATGTAATCGATGCTCTGAGCAACGCCAATCTCGATATAATAAGCTATCCGACGGCGGAACCTTAATTAGGAAGACCTCAACAGGTTGAAAATCTACAGCAATGCGGGGAAATGAGATCTGTAGCTGATAGATATACCTGGTTTGATTTCTTCATCTCGCTCCTAATCTTTCACTAGCAACCAGCGGCGGCGCTGATAGACCGCGTGTCTGGACTCTTTGGCAAAGGTCCCCAGCCTAGTGAGGAGAAACTCATCCTTGCTCTCACGTCATGAACCTCGAACTTACCAAGTAGATTTGATGTGATATCAGCCACCATGCCGCCCCATTGGGCCGGGGATCTAGTGGAACATGGGGTAAAGGCGTGGTGTGGCCAGGATTGCCGTGTCCGGCAGGCGCAGCATCGAATCAGAGACAGTCTAGGCCGCTTGTACCATAATTCCCACGCAGATTCTGGGCAATAGGCTGCGGATAATAATGGAGAGTTTCCCAGTCATTTGCCAAGACTGGTGAGATTGCAGCGTGTCTATAGACGCTTTGATGTTGTAGAGCCTTGCAATTATTGCCCATTCCCGAGAAACTTGATGGCGTCAGATATTACCATTCCTATTCAAAGAATGGGCAATATCTGCGAGGCAAATGAGGTCGAACCAATGAGAGGATTGGCGTTGCGACCCCCCCTTTTCAGCTTGGATCGCCGTCGGATGGTAAAGGGATGCAGACTATCAGGATCTGGATCCGACAGAAATGCGCCACGTATGTATAGAGCAACATGTACGTACGCAGTATACAAAATGGAATACACGATCCCCGATAATCCTGTTGCGTGGCCTGGGAAGAAACCTTTACTTATTGGGAGAGGCTTAGAATTATTAAATCTCCAAAACTACTTCGTCCGCGACAAATCTTCAAGGGCGGCCGTTGTTTAAAAGCGAGGTGCGAAAAGTACCGCAACGGCGTGTGCTGCATTCATGCAGGATTGCGGCGCGGGCCGCTAAATCCCGTATTGTGTAGGTATTCAAGGTAGTGAGATTCATAAAACCAAGTCGGGGATACGCTCCGATACACTATCAATCTAGCTTGCAGCCCAGCGTCTTCATCATGTAAACACGCCTAAGCCCCTTCTCCTCGGCGCGATGAGTTTCGACATAGCCAATGCGAGAATAACAGGAGATGTTGCTCTCCATCTTCTCGTGGGTGTAGAGTTTGATGGAGTTGTAGCCGGCCTCCCGAGCACGCGACTCGGCATATGTGATCAGTCTGCGGCCAAGCCCCGTCCCCTGAGCCGATGGCGACACGGCGACATTGTCGAGAAGCATGGAATCCGGCTCGGGGATCAGCACGAGAATGGCTTGGACATTGCCGCCTGCCGTTTCGACAATAGACACTCGCTCTGCTCTGATGTGAGCCGAGTAGTCGTCCAACATCGGCCCCGGTTCCCGTCCGATGACGTTCACCCAAGGGCTATAAGCTTCTTTGACGACGTGCTCGATTGCAGCTAGGTCATCGAGGCCCGCTAGTCGGAGGCCTTTCAAATCCATTAGTCGTTGTGTGTGGACTGTCCAGATACTATCGATAACTACCAGATGCAATTTGAAGGTGAGTACGGGAGAGTCAGGGTAAACCCTGGCGCTATGAAAAATATTTCTCACCCGCCGCTTAGCGCACGGCGAAATGGTGGAACTTCTTTCAAACTTTTCCTTCAAGAAGGCCATTATAGACAGTCACAAATCCAACAACACGCCCGGTTAGCTCAATCGGTAGAGCGTGAGACTCTTAATCTCAAGGTTGCGGGTAAGCTAATCTTCTATCCTCTCGTCTATACCATGTATTGACCTGCGTGCAACAGGTTCGACCCCCGCATTGGGCTCAATTCCTAATGCTTCTCAGACTACTGAGAACTGTAACCTCTCTTTCTTTTTTTTTTTTAATCTCTCTGTTTTTCTTTTTCTTCTCTTCACTCTCCCTCGTTCTCCCAATTCCCCATTTGTACTGCTTTACCTGATCATCGGTTGCATCTATTTGCAATTGTCAAGCTTCAAACTCATTCGAAGACTACATGATAGCAGCAGATAAATGGGCAGTTATGACGCAAATCCAGTCTTTGATACTTCAGACAACTATGTACACTAATCTATTTACTATTGGGATACATCCTCTGCTTAAGGCGCGTACTGGGCGAGAGTCGACTCATAGTATTCGTATGCCGTACCAGATGGTGGCTCGAAAGAGTAAATGTAGTCACCCCACCATGGGCCAGCTGCCCACCACAGAGCTCCTAGCCAGACATCGCTGTTGGCCTGGAGGTGCTCAAGTATACCCTCAATAGCTTCCAAGCACACCGAGTTGGCGCCTCCAGCGGTCTCACCGATAACTAGATGGCAATGGTTAACAGACGGCCCTTGAGGCGTGTAGTAGAGTGACTCACTTCCGATCTTTCCGTTTGCGCGCAGCCAGGTGGTTGCACCCTCGATGCGCTCTACGCCAATAGTATTAGAGACACAGGTGGCGCTTGTTCCGGAATTGTCGGAATCTAGGTATTGGTGCATTTCATATACAAGCTTGTTGTCCGAGTCGGTGAGAGCAGCAAGGTTGGTGTTGGTCGTGTTCCAGGTGTACGCAGCAGTGTAATCATTACCTTCAGCGAAGATGTACTGTGTCGTAGCGCCTGCAGCTCGAATGGCGTTGATAGCTGCCTGGTTCATGTTCAAAACGTTGGTCTCTGAAAACCTGTTAGCTTCCTGATGCAGTTATATTACGAACTCGCGTGTTGCTTTTCCAACTCGCATGGCCTCGGAATTACTTACTGCGAACAAGTTAGCTTGCGACCTAATGGGAGAGACTTCAAAGAAGATTGGAGAATAGGAACCGTGGCGTACCGATCCTCATCATGATACTCGTTATTCGTATCAAAAATGACTTTATCGTTATTTTTGAAATGAGTTGCCACAGTCGTCCAGAAGGCACCAAAGCCGGTAGTATCTGTGATAACATTGCCATAGTAACGTCCATAGTTATGGGGATCAACGATGGCGTAGGCGCCATTCTCGGTGATGTAGTTGACAGTTCCCGTCAGATTCGCCAAATAGCCCGGATCAGCGGGACCCGTGAGTTCGTTCGGCACCAGGCGCTCCATTGCGAAAGCGACTCGGAAGATGTTGAACCCCTCGTTGATGAAGGTCGATATCGACGAGTTATCCATAAAAGTGAAGTCGACTCCCCAAGTTCCAGGGTATGTACCAGAGCCAAATTCAGCGCATGAGAGGTTGATTCCCAAGAACTTGTTCTTGCCAGTACTAGTTGGGGATGAGATCGCCGAGGTCGTGGTCGATGTCTTCAAAGTCGTGCTTGCGGCGGTAGTGGTGGTAGCCGAAGAGGTACCCGGAAGGCACTGGCTGTAATAAGTATTTGAATAGACGCAGGAATACCCAGCAACACAGCTCGTTGAGCCTGTGAAGCCGAGTCCTCCACATTGAGCATACGCCGCATTCTGGGCGAGGGCCGTGCTGGCGAAGGCACTAGCAAGAACAAGTGACCACATCGTAAAATAACAAGCACAAACAATTACAAAGGGGTCTAAGCACAGCGCCAAGATAGCTCACTCTCTTCACAGGAGATCTCATCCATCTTATATATATTCGCCAAATTAATCTACTACCTGTCTTCTTTTGCGAGGTTGAGATTCGGAGAGTGAAGCTCCAGCCAGAGGAGCCAATCATATTAGACGCGGAGGTTAGAAGCAAATCTCCTGAAGGGGCAAGTGGACCCTTTAGCACATCCGGCCGGGGTACCCACATCACAAGTCTGAGGACCACGCCATTCTTTTTACTCCACGAATCGTCGTGAGGCTCTCTTTGAGCTTTAGTCGCATTGGGATGGGCTTCGGTACTCCGGGACGCCTGTTGTGCGGAGCCCCTTGGAATTTGGCCGGATCGTGGATGGAAGGATCCGAAGTTGAAACCATCGGCGAGCCGGCGCGATCGGCTCCCTTGTTAGCTCAATTTCTGATGATATTGGAGGGGCAGAGAGCTGGAGCAATAAGGATACGCAACGTCCTCAAATTCATTTTGTTATCTCTGTTAATTATATAGTTTTGAATGTTAGCTGATGATAGAAACGGATGTTAGAATGTTGATGTGCTATAATACTGCTCTCAGATTACCCGGAATGACTGTTTTCCATATGAATTTTGCCAGCAGAACACTTCATCCATGAGGATAAGTATGGCTTTGAGAAACGGCCCGAGGAGGGGATATCTTGGGGAGGCAAAGTATTTCTAGTTTTCAACGACGCGCTTTCTGGTTCCTCTAATATAGGGTGAATTTTTCATCTATAAAGAGGGGTAGCAGCTGAAAGAGATGATGGGTGTAACCATATCAATATCCTTAAAAACACAAATGCTTGTCATTGAAGTACTTGAGAGGCCATCAGCTGGTTAGCTTCGAATCCTCATATCTGACATGGAATGATGTCAATGTCAGAAACGCACTACAGATTACACTAGGAGTATGAGTGGAAGAGATAGATATTACTAAGCTCGATGCATGAATGGGGACCTTTTATTTCGAGTAAATCAGACTTCCACGTTTTTATTTCTGTTCTGCTTACCTCAATTTACGTCTTACTTGATCTGAGTTGTTGCTGTGTAATTAGCACGAACTACCATTAACCGTAGTAGTTACCTTTGGGTCGGAGAAGGCGTCGACGAGCAACCTTGTATGCAAACTTACCGGCGTCCCGAAGCACTGTCTTCAGATCATGGGCATACGTATTCTTCTCTGCATCGGCGCTTGACGTGCCCGAGGCCTTTTGTTCATCCTGAGAAGTTGAAGAATCCGCATCATCATCAACCCAGTCAAGGTCTTCCTCCTGAAGATGGTCGTTGTTCTCTACACCACTTTCTTTCTGAATAGCACCTTTCTTCCCTCTCAATATAGCCTCGTATGCTTCGTGAATCTTTTCCAGGGGAGGATGCGATGTATCGGTATCTTGGTTTATGTTGTCAGCACGATAGCGTTGGGTAAGGTTGTGATAAGCCTGATTGATGATGAGTATATCATCATTCGAATTGACTCCAAGGAGTCGATACGGATTTCCTTGAGACATTGTCAATAATAAGAAGTGTAGACAGCTGGCAAGACGAAGAACAAGGCCGTTGGCGCCGGAAGGAAATGTATATCCGACCGTCCGATGAAGGCCTTTGTATCAAATGCACTTGATGTTTTAAACAATACTTGAAACAGTGAGATTGTTCAATCTTAACAATGTGTTGTTCATTAACGCAACATGTTTGCTTGCGTTAACGGTTTAACAGCCAATCTATAAGAACCTTGAGTGGTAAACGTGTATATCTTCCATGCTTGTACCTGGTAGAATTGACTGATTTGTTGAGTAAGCGATTAGAGCATTATTGGTTTCTCAATTCTATAGACAGGCAGCCTAGACTGGCAAGACTGGGTATGTACATGCTACTCCCCCGGTTCATCTGCCGAAACTGAGTTGCCATATCGAGACCGATCGACAGAGGGTAATGCCCTGTGTAAAAGTGCTTGTTGGTTATAGTCCTTGCCCGTGATCGGTCCCTCACAGGGTGTGCTACCTGAAAACGAAACGCTTCTATACCGCTTATTCGCCAAGTAGGTTTTCATCACGTAAGTCGAAATTTCACTATCGTCAGATCAAGTACTGAATGCGAAATAGTTGTATGTTGCTTGACATGCTTTGAAATAGCAAAAACTTGTTCAATTCAAGTATTGCTATCCCAAGTGACTAGTTCAAGATCCGCGCCATCTCCGCTCTATTACCGGCGCCAACCTCCTCACGGACAACCTAAAACCCCGTGGTGCATGAACCTTTCCGGTCACCGCTCACAAATCATTAGGCCCATACTCTAATTCCCTTCGACTAACGTGCCCTTCCCCATGCGCTAGTTTATTTCTATGTCTAGCTACAGGGACCATACGTGTGAGGCATCTAGTCATCTTACATTGCGCTGATTAAGTTCCTATGTAGAAGTTGAACCCGGTTCCGGGTACGGATCTTCGATCATGAGTGTCGGAACGATAGGGCTAACTGGGGTTGTCGATTCCTCACCGTATGCGAAAGAGTTTACTTCGAGGGCTGTCATTCGATTCTAATTCCCTTGTCTCTGTTTTTCGTCTTAGATCAGGGCATTTCGTATTATCCTTCTTTGATCACAGGCTAGAATATTTAAGTGCTCGTCCGCTGAGAAATACACGCCCTAATTATCGGTAGAGAATAACAACGTCTAACCCCCGATAGAGATGGCTTCAACACTGGAGCAACCACCACAAAGAAGCGGGCTACTTGGCCATATGTCAGAAATCGTTCAATCCGCCGACAGTCAGGATGCAGAGTCACGATATAAAACCGAAGAAACAGACAATGGGATAGAAACGAGCGACGTTGCTGCCCCCAGCACTATACCACGTGCAAATGAAAAGACGATATTGTCATGGCCCAAGGACGACCCAGAGAATCCTCATAATTGGCCTATGGTCCGTCATTTTGCTAGCTTTATCAACGCCGATAAGCTCATACTAATACCAGGACTTTCATAGGGGCGCAAGGTTTTCATTGTCGCGTCGGCCATGTTAATCACCACAAACAGTACCATGGGAAGTAGTCTACCGAGTCAAGCAATCCCTTATATAGCGGCAGAATGGGGTATAACCTCTTCGACGCAAGAAGTTCTACCAGTGTCAATATTTTTAATCGGCTATCTTTTCGTCGCTCTCTGGGGCCCTCTTAGTGAGCACATAGGTAGACGCACTGTGAGCTTATGGACTTTCGCCATGTTCCTAATATGGACGCTTGCGTGTGCCTTCGCTCCCAACTGGCCGGCGTTCC